CACTCGTACGCACAACTTAAGAACAAATCTGTGCGTACGAACGGTTCTTGCATGAGGCCCAATGATCCAAAACATAAAGCAAAATCTACAATGGAATGATTCACAAATAAACGTATCCAGGTGTTAGAATGGCCAAGTCAAAGTCCAGACCTGAATCCAATTGAGAATCTGTGGAAAGAGCTGAAAACTGCTGTTCACAAACGCTCTCCATCCAACCTCACTGAGCTCGAGCTGTTTTGCAAGGAAGAATGGGCAAGAATTTCATGTACAAAACTGATAGACATTCTCCAAGTGACTTGCAGCTGTWATCGCAGMAAAAGGTGGYACTACAAAGTATTAACGCAAAGGAGCCAAATAATTTTGCACGCTCAAGTTTTTTTTATTTGTTAAAAAAGGTTAAAATATGCAATAAATTTTGTTCCACTTCACGATTGTGTCCCCACTTGTTGTTGATTCTTCACAAAAAAAAATTAAAAATTTATATCTTTTTGTTTGAAGCCTGAAATGTGGCAAAAGGCTGAAAGGTTCATGGGGGCAGAATACTTTTGCAAAGCACTGTATGCTGCCAATTATTTGTACAAAGTGGTGCCTGTGGGCCAAAACTGGCCCACCAAGATTTGATCTGGCCCAGCAGCTGCTATGGCTACTAGGTTGTAATCTGTCCTCCTATGTAGAAACACAGTATTTCCACCTAAAGTCATTCCATTCATTGGCTCAAAGACTGTAAGGGGTTGTATTGCAGTTACTCAAAAACGTGGGCCACCACACTGGCTGCTAGCTTAATCATTAAAAGGACTGTACTTAAGAAGTATTTGTATTTCATGAATTATGTTGTTGCATTTGGCTGCAGCCCTCAGATTTTCATTTTGGGGAAAAGGTTTGGGCACCGTTGATATATGTACAAACTGAAACAGCTAGACTAGTGCATCCTAAATTTAACACAATTTAATTATTTTAATACGGCACAGTCATTTCTGCATTTTTTGGGGGAGGTCACCTCCTAATAAATGGCATTCTGTAACTGCTCATTTTAAATCAATACTTTTCCTTTTAATACTTAAGTACAAAAAATATCAGATACTTTAAGGCTTTTACTCAAGTAATATTCACAAATAAGACTTTAACTTTTACCAAAGTAATTTTTGGTAGCATACTTGTACTTTCAGACAAGTATCACTCTGTGGTACTTTATATAACACTGTACCTACCAAAAACAAAGTGTAGCCGATTAATTTTTTCCTTTTCTTTTTTTGCATTTGCAACAAAAAGTTGGTCGCCAGAGTGACAAATCCACTAAGCTAAAACTAAAGGTAGCAATAAATAATAACATTTATCTGTATGACACTCAAATGTTATTCATATTTTCACATTATTCTGTGTTGGTATAAGTACGTGGAGTTGTACCCTAATACAGTGGTTCCCAAACTTTTTATCTTCTGACCCACAAAACATTCATGGCAAAAACTTGTGACCCCAAATATTACTGGTCTGAGTACACAAACTTCGTTAATAACCCTAAAAACACATGTTTTTGACTATCTAAACAGCTTTACACAAATATAAATACTTATTTATACTAATTTTGTGTTTTTGTAATAATTATGGAAAATGTTACATCATCACCCTTTAAATTGATTTCTGGAAATTATCCAAGGTGCTTCATGACCCATAATTGGGTCCCAAGCCCAACTTGGGGAACCAAAGTGCAGTGGTTCCCAAACATTTCAGCTTTTGCCCCACAAAATAACAGTAGCAGAGACCTGTGCCCCCAGCTATTTTTGTATGTTAAACATTTGTATCAGGTCAACTAAACATGGCCATAGTAACAATATTTTTTATTCTACATTTATCCATTTTTAAATATACTAACCTCACACCTTTGTAACAACGAAGACAAAAATGTAATTAATTCAGAAAATCTTTTCAGGACCCCACCTTGATGTTTTGGGACCCCACTTTGGGTCCCGATCCCAACTTTGGGAAACACTGCCCTAATACATACATATACATATACAATACATAAATTTAGCTTATAGTAATGAAGTTCATACACTGTATTACGCTTAATAATGAATGAATGAATGAATGAATGAATGAA